AAAAAAAAAAAAAAAAAAAAAAAATGACTCTCAGGCCTCAGTTAAGACAAGAAAACATATGTAAAAGCACCCAGAAAAGTACATGGCCTGTAACAAGCACCCGATAAACAGCTGTAGTTGTTACTGACAGCAGGGGAAAGAGAGAAGGCCACTGCAAACTTGTTTAGCACTACTTGTTTAGCTGCTCCCTGACCCCGACTGGCCGCTATGGCACCCCTAAAGAATTTTGCTTCGCAAACACTTGGTGATGACCATGCCCTTAAGAGATCTGAATTCCCAAGTTTGACTTCTTATTGCAAAAGAGATCAGGTTGAATCAGGTGGAGTTTGCCATCTACTTTGGGCTATGGCTCCTACACAACAGGGGAAAACAGACACTCGACTCCTAACTCAGGAGCTCTGAGATTGGTCACTGTGAATGCCCAGAAGGAATCTGTTCACTCAATCATTAGTGTTCAGGACAGCCAGTGCTTTCACCTAGTCAACAGGCCAGGTGGATTCACAGGGAAATAAAGAACTAATAAGCAAGAAATCACCCCAGGATGAGTCAAGGTCAGCTGCTTATGAGGACTCAGACCCCATTATAGAGACTAGACAGGCCAGTCTTCATCCACAGACATCAACGGAGAGGGAAAACAGCTGGCATTGTGGGGACGTACCCTTCTCAAAAAGAGGGCACATGAAAAAGCAGGTTGGTCACACCCTACACGAGAGCAACCCAGGGTCCCAATACCTGGCTGCATCCGATCCTTTGTGTACCAGATTGCTAAGCCATCCCCATGCAGATTCTTCTTCCCTTGTCCATGGATTTTGAAGTGCACCTGCAACTCCCAGTCTCTCAGGAAACATGGCTGAAGTGAAAAAACACATTGGGATCAATGAGGATCATGAAATGCAAAATCCCTCAAGCCCTCATCAGCAGTATACAGACTAGGAAAACATAAATGCAGGTAACACAAGGCTAAGGATTAAATCTGAAATCTAAGACTTGCTAAGTGTTTGTGTAATAAAATTAAACTGATAGAGCCATTCAACTATATATGAGATTTAATATGAAACATGAATAAACCACCTAATTTTCTTCAACATCGCCCAACAGAAACAGGATAGTACTCCGAAGCTGGAAAAGACACCAAAACACCACATGAGACTATCATCCTACACACATCCAGCAAAGCGTCTCAGCCTGTAGAGTATAGGTGGCTAAATCAACTCATCTGCGGCTTAAGATCACCCCTCCGATAGAAAGACCCTAAAAAGCTTAGATTTAAAGAAAGGTCAAAGCCTCACTCATTGTACAAGAATAAGAAAAACGAGGTCATTATGCAAAGGTTTCCAGGAATAATTAGCAGAGGCTATACACAACTCTAATTAGTTAGATTGGCCCTATGCCAAGCTGAGAGGGAAGCTGGAGTTCCCATGAGAAGGGGTAAGTTACAATCCACAATCCCCCAAACTTCATGCGCGTGGACAGAAGCATAAATGCACCAAAGGAGAACACCCCCAACCTCACTGCATCTGGTGGGAAAATTTTAAGGAGGTAGGTATGAATCAGACTCCTGTTTCTTTTTTCTGAACTGTGTAGCAGACCTTGGAAAAATGGAGGAGGTAAGTCTCTAAATAGTTGAACACTTTCAAATAGAAACCACAGTAGGTATTTGGTTTAGAGAAGCTCCTGGTTAAAGTTCACCATGAAAAAAGAAGAGGAGGAGCAGACAGACCAAAGGGATTCCACCAAAGGGTCTCCTAATAGATTGTCCTGGCTCTTAAGCAACATATTGTTACATCATTTTCAGTTTTTAGTTTAATTTCTGGGAAATCTTCCAAAAGTGTTAGTATTAGAAGTATATAGTCCAAATAAAAGGGGTACGGATTCTTCTGAATTCACCAATGAGCCCTGAAATCTCCAACAACTTACCCTACTCTGACAAACCCAGTCTCTGTGTTCTCATTCTGGGCTCTCATCTTCCTGCTCTTACATTATTTCAGGGCAAGAGTGAAATTCACTGCCCCATACCCAGTGGGTGGGTATTATGTCCTGGGAAGAGAGCAGGGCCAGAGAGGTTCAAACTGAGCCAATAGGTGTCTACCACTTATCTTTGGCCTCGTGTAGCACAATGCTATACAGTTTTGCTCAGGGCTACATCTAACAGTGGTTCTGAACCTTTGTTGCATATTAGATATATTAGACTCACCTAGAAGGCTTTAAAAAAAAATCCTAATGGCCAAGCCATGCCCCGATCCAATTAAATCAGAATCTCTGGGGGTGGGATCCAGGTATCAACTCCAACGGACAGCCAAACTTGAGAGCCACTGCTCAAACCAATGCTTCCTATTCAAATACGTAACTCAGAAACAATTCCAAGGCTCTTTCTGATAGCCAGTTATCAAAAAATACATGTAGCAGCCCTGGCCAGTGGGGATCAGTAGTTAGAGCATTGGTCCGAGCACCAACGGTCATGAGTTTGATTCCCAGTCAAGGGAACATACCTGGGTTGCAAGTTCGATCCCCAACCCCAGTCAGGTCATGTGCAGGAGGCAACCAATCAATGTGTCTCTCTCACATCAATGTTTCTATCTTTTTCTCTCTTCTTCCCCTCCCTCCC